GTGTATTCACAATATTATTTTACACATACAGCAATCTTTTTATTAAATTTGAGGTATTTTTTATTAGTAGGCTTTAATGTCAAATCCATGATACTATTAATTTCAATGATAAAAATTAATGATCATCACATGATTTTCAAATTTGATTTCTCATGATCATATGATCATCCCAAAGCCGTGTTTTGCTGTGATGCCCCCATATAAGATTGCAAAAGAATTATTTCCAACCAAATTTTCTAATCAATTATTTAAGTATCGCCAAGTGAAAACAAACAACTCAATGATCAACTTTGTGAGCAAGCAAAATGGATTAATGATAGTACTGCAAATTGTATTCGAAGTTCAAAATGCAGAATGCATATTTCTATTACTAATAAAAAAGGTGTATGTGATAAATATAGCGATCTTAAAAAAGATAAAGTTTTTCAGGTAAAATTAATTTAAATATTATTTTTTTTGTAATAATAATAATTTTAATATATTCAATTTAGAATGCTCTTTGTGTTCCTATTCCAAAATCTGAAATATTAAACATATATCTAAGATTCTTTTTAAAAATTTGCCAATAATTAAATATATTAAAAATAGTTATATCCAAGAACTTTGGATAATTGTTAATGATTCTACTCAAGATTCTGTACAAACTTTTTGAAATAAATTAGCTGATATAGAACAAAAAGATGTTTTTAAACTTAATTCAACTTTTGGTAGACTTTGTAAAATAATAGTACAAGTAGCTAAACGTAAATCTAAAGGAAAAGGCCTGCAAAATATTACTTATTCAGCACAATTTAGTGATTTTTTAACTGTTCTGGCAAGTACAAGCTCCCAAACATATTGTATTTTTCAAGCAAATTTAGCAGGCAAATTACTACACACTATTAAGTAAAAAGTATTATATATTAATATACTTATGTATATTATTTGTATTAGGGAGCTGACAGAAATCAGCTGATTTTTTGGTGGGTGAGTGGGTCAGCCAAAGTGTCAGGTGTAATTCTGGCCGGAATTATCAAATTCCAGCCAAAATTATATTATAAATTTATATATAAATTAATAAAAAATTTCAATATTATATAAGTTTTGATCTACTAAACCA